GTCTCAGCTCTGCCCTCTGCCACCCGGGAGCAGGCCTAAGCCAGCAGGTTGTTATCTCCCGAGGGGTCCCAGACTGCGAGAGGGCACAGGCCGGGCTGAGGGACTCCCCCCAATAACCCCCGAGTGCACAAATTTTTGTGCACCGGGCCTCTAGTAAAGATAATAAGGGCCCAAGAAGTGAGTGAGTGAGTGTGTGTGTGTGTGTGTGTGTGTGTGTTTTAAAATAAAAAGGCAAATGAGAGATCCCCACATACAAAAGTCTAGGATTAGGTCTAGGAGAAAGGTTTCCTTAGGCCTGGTATTCATGCCTCTTTCCTACATTTAGGACCAACATCTAATACCGCAAATAAAGCTTATACAAGTCATTAGCACAAGTTAGAATGAACTAAAGCAAAAATAAATATTAAAATGATTTTTATAAATTCACTAAATAACAGGATCATTGTGAGCACTGGACAAACTCAAGGATATTTTCAAGTGTGTCCCTGACTTTAAAGGCTGACATTAGAGAGGACAATTTGCTCCCTGGTGCCCAGGAGAGAGAAGAGCAGTTGAATAGCCTGGCTCTGATTCAGCAGAACCGCCGAGTCCCCAGTGGTGCACCAGGAGAAATCATTTCTGGGCTTGTTCTGGGTGGGGGTATGGCGCTGGGGAAGTGGTCCAGCAAATATACAATAAGAATGTCGGCTAAGGGAGGAGACCACATCCAGCCTTACGGTTTAATCCCCAGCCTCCCGCATAGTGCCTGGTCGGTACTCAATAAACATTTGTTAAATAGAAGAATTTCTCCTAGTTGTCTCAACTTCTTCATCACTTCCTTGATGTTTTATGCAATCCCCGAACTCTAGCTTCCTTTCCCCCATACCATTCAATAGAAATTTATCTTACTGAAGTCACCAAAGATCTCTGATGGTCAAACTCAATGGACATTTCACATTATCTCTGACTTATCTGTGGTTTTTGGCACTCTCACCTTTAGGACATTCTCAGTTTAAAATGATACCAGTCTTTCCTGATTTTCCTCTTTTCGTGTTCACTAACTTCCTGTCCACCCTCTAAATGTTGCTATTGCTGGAGGTGCCCTCAGACGTCTATTTAACTGCATACCACAGATTCTTCACCTTAGGTGCAGAGCTCCTCACATAGGCACCCCTGTGGAAATTTGTTTACATATGTACACTTCTGTGCAGAGAGGATCCCTAGGATTCAGAGTCTCCAAAGGGTACAAACCTCAAAAAAGTTCAATACTGCTGAATGCGCTTGCTCTAGGGGATGTAACCCATCCCATCGCTTTAATTACCATCCATTTACCCTGACCTCCACATTTCTATGTCCGGTCCACATGTCTTCTGAACGCCAGATCAAGAAATCCAACTGCCACCCTGGCCAGTGCTGCTAAATGATTAGCGGTCGGCCGGAGCTCTGAAGGCTGGAGCTCTGAAGATTGTAGGTTTGATCCGGGTCCCAGTAGGAGTGCATGCAGAAGGCAATCAATCAATGTATCTCTCTCACATGGAAGTTTTTCTCTCTCTCCACCCTCCTTCCCTTTTACTCGCTATAAAAAGCAATGG